ACCCCGCCGTGCCCCCTTCCCGCCGCCGCTCCCCTCCCCCTTGAAACTGACGTCGTCCCCGCGGGTCTCGGCTGCGCCCCGGCTGCGGGCACCCCACCTTCAGTCCTCTCCGCTCCTGGACGCGCACCCCTCCCTCCCGGCCAACCTCTCCCCTCTCCAGCCCCGGCGCCTGACCGGCCGGGAGAAGATGGAGACGGGGGTGGGACCGAGCTGTGGCCCACGCTCAGGAGGGGGTCGCCAGGTGGGGCCCCGGTCAGTGTAGACGCCAATGAGGACGTGCCTGGAGTTGGCGCTTCGGCAGACACGAGGAACAGGGAGAGAAAGGTCCAGCGCGGAGGCGCCGCGGCCCCAAGTCCTCGCCTCCTTCCCTCGCCTCCCCGTGCTTTCCCGCCCCGTTGCAGCCCAGTCCCTCGCTGCATGCAGTTGGGTCCGCCAGGGGGGAGGCCGCCCTGTGCCGGAGACCGGGGCCTTAGGTGTGGACGCTTCGCGGGCTGCACAATCTCCTGGCCGAGGGAGGAACTGAGATTCGAATTAGTTACTACAAATTAAAGACCTCATGTGCGCCCTCAATGTATGCAGGCATGAGGGTCATTATGAACCCAGGTCCCTCTCAACACAGGCCTACCCAATTGCTTTCCCTCCGTCCGGCCCCACGCAGGGAGGGAAGGTGGACAGGAGGGGTCACCAAGATAGAGAAATCAGCCGTTCTTGGGTGAACGTGATGTTTGACCAGCAGAGGACCAGCCTTCTGCTCTAGACACCTCTTTGATACACTTCTCGTTCTTCGGAGGCTTCCCTTGAGGGAGATTTTGATTGCCTCTTTACTTTTCTTCCCCAGCCATCCAATACCCACCAGCTGGACCCACAGTGTGTCCAAGGAATTCGTTATTGATAGCTGTTTCATAAGACTCCAGTCACTGCTGAATATTTAAAAGAGACTTTTCGGCCCTCTTTTCAAGAAGTTGAAGTTATTGGCCTGGGCTCAGTAATACACTCTTTAGTATAGTTGCCATGAATTTATCACTTTTCAGTAGTTCTAAATGTCCAAATGCACAAATAGAATTGGGATATTGTATAAATCGTTTCATTCCAAGAGAAGGGCACACTTCCTCTAGAGCAGTGGTCAGCAAACTGCAGCTTGCGAGCCATATGCGGCTCTTTGGCCCCTTGAGTGTGGCTCTTCCACAAAATACCGACTTCTGCGCAGGGGCCATGAAGTTTCAATCACACTGTACGTGCGCACCTGCACGTGGGATTTTGTGGAAGAGCCACACTCAAGGGGCCAAAAAGCTGCATGTGCCTCACGAGCCACAGTTTGCCGACCACGGCCCTAGACTAATCTGATAAAAGGAAGAATCATATCAGACTTTCCTAAAAAGAAGAGGTTGTTACCCTTGCCTAACTAATTCTGCTTATTATTATTTAAAAGAAAGAACAGTGGCAGAGAATCTGGCTTAGGCTCCAGTGGACTACTGCAACAAAATTCTGTGACGTTAAACTTTAAAATGTATCTAATTTAAGAAATCTTAATACTTTGATTTTTATAGCACTGCACTTTCTCAAACTCCTTTTTCATCCGTTAGAAAAATATGTCAGACTAGGCATAGAACAGGGGTGGGGAACATCGGCCCATGGGCCATATAAGGCCTGCAAAATCATTTGGTCTGGCCCTGTCAGGGCATTAGGTGTGAGTTAATTAAATGTTTGACAAATATAGCAATTATTTTTCTTTTATTGTTTCCTTTTTTTTTTAACAAGCTAATTTTTAAGTTGATAATTTTGTATGACCCACAAATGATGTTATAAAGATCCAAATGGCCCTTGGCAGAAAAAAGATTCCCCACCCCAGTCTAGAAAATTGGTTTTACGATACAAGTGGGATGGGCCTGGATCAGTAGTATGTTGGGCTACAGTTAAGGGAAGCCTCTGTTTCTAACAAGGGAAAGCAGAGGCAAAAGACAAAAGAGATGGGGAGGTGGGGAGGAAAAATCAGTTTGCTGCATAGGAAAAAACATTAGATTGATGGCTGGGAGTCACAAGTTTTGGAGCTAGAGAAACAAAAGCGAGGTTGAATCTAATGGAAGAAAAGATGTAAAATACCAACATGGGGCTAAATCTAGAATTAGGGTTTTACATGTGGGTAAATGTTGGGGCAAGGATGCAGAAAAAGAAAGATTTAAACCTCCAACTAACATTTTTCTCTGCCTCCTTCCTATCCCTAAGTTAAATAATGGCAGAGACGAGTCTGTTAGAGGCTGGGGCCTCTGCAGCATCCACCGCCGCAGCTCTGGAGAACTTACAGGTGGAGGCCAGCTGCTCTGTGTGCCTGGAGTACCTGAAGGAGCCTGTCATCATTGAGTGTGGGCACAACTTCTGCAAAGCTTGCATCACCCGCTGGTGGGAGGACCTAGAGAGGGACTTTCCTTGTCCAGTCTGTCGAAAGACCTCCCGGTACCGCAGTCTCCGGCCTAATCGTCAACTAGGCAGTATGGTGGAAATTGCCAAGCAGCTCCAAGCTGTCAAGCGGAAGATCCGGGATGAGAGCCTCTGCCCTCAGCATCATGAGGCCCTCAGCCTCTTCTGCTATGAGGACCAGGAGGCTGTATGTTTGATATGTGCAATTTCCCACACCCATCGGGCCCACAATGTCGCACCACTGGATGACGCCACACAGGAGTACAAGGTGGGGAACCAGACACATGAAGTCAATGTGGGGCAAAGGGAGGAATACAGCAGAGGGAGGCTCTCTAGATAGAGGATCGTAAGCTCCTGAGAGCAAGACTATGTCTGGGTCTCACTCTGTAGTTCCCTCTAACATACATACACAGGGGACACAAAGTACATCTGCCCAGTTATCCCCAAGCATGAAGAACAGTGGTGAGGAGTACCCCAAAATTTCTCTCTGACCTTTCTAACACATTAGAGCATGAGGGATCTTGGACTATAACATCCTATATAATAAAGAGGTAATATGCAAATTAATCCTCATCCCCTCACAAGATGGTTGCCTACGACTGGACAAGCAGGCTGCATTGAGCGACCAGGCCAGTAGGGGGGTTAGTGGGGGAGGGATGACCAAACGACTGAACAGCAGGCTGCATGGGGTGACCAGGCCAGTAGTGGGGTTAGTGAGGGGCGACCAGGCTGGCAGGGGGGACGGCAGTTAGGGGCAACCAGGCCAGCAAGGAAGGCAGTTGGGGGTGACCAGGCCGGCGGGGGCGGGGGCAGTTAGGAGTGACCAGGCCAGCAGGGATCTATATAAAAGCCTAAGCCACCGTTCGACCATTCAACCGGTAGCTATGATGCACACTGACCACCAGGGGGCAGATGTTCAATGCACAGGCATGGAAACATGGAACAGACTAATGAATCTCAGAGGGGAGGAGGGAAGGCAGAAAGAGATTAAGCAAAGATCTTATATGCATGCTAGAGGCCCAATGCGCGGATTCATGCACCAGTGGGGTCCCTCGGCCTGGCCTGCGGGGATCAGGCCAAAACTGGCTCTCCGACATCCCCCAAGGGGTCCCAGATTGCAAGAGGATGCAGGCCAGGCCAAGGGCCTCTAGTATTTTTCATAATGAATGAGAACACATAGAGAAGATCCACGTTAGGAAGAACTGAAAAGTGGTCTGGTTTCCTCATTCTGTCCCCTGCTCAGAGTATCCTTCCCTTTCCCATTGGTACTGGGAAGACTGTCGTTTCAGTTGAGACTGAACCAGTCTGTTGTTTGCATCTTCCCCAGATAATGGATAACATGACATCTGGTTTAAATTATTGCTGGGACAGAGAGTAAATGTTTGAGTAACAGAAATTAGAGCTGCTAATGTCTTAGCACTTTATCAAGTAGTTTAATTAATTATGTTAATAAAATCCTAATAAAGAGGGAATATGCTAATTGACCCTCACGCCCACAGCCAATGAGGGAATATGCTAATTGACTGTCCCACCCTCAAAGATAGCAACGCCCAGTACCCTCAGCCGCATGCCTGCCTCCGGAGTCCCCCAATCCCCTCAGCCGCCCAGGGCCGGCCTAAGGCACAGGAAAGCCTCAGATGGCGGCTGCCCAGCCATCCAGGGCCGCCCAAGGTGTAGGCAAGCCTCGGATGGCAGCTGCCTGGCCGCCCAAGGCTCAGGTAACCAGGGCCAGCCGAGGTGCTGCCGGCAGTGGCAGCAGCAGAGGTGTGATGGGGCGTCGCCTTCCCTGATCGCCGAGTTGCCTCCCGCCCCTGAGGACTCCTGGACTGTGAGAGGGGGCAGGCTGGCTGAGGGACCCCCCACCTCCAGTGCATGAATTTTCATGCACCAGGCCTTTAGTCTTGGAAATAAGATTTAAGGTTGTTTATAAGTAAGATTTCATTATATTTTCAGATGGTTAGAGTTGAATGGAAATGCAAGTTTAAAGATGGACATCAAGGTCCAGAAGGTCGCTTTGACAGTAATAGGAGTTACTTGAGTTAGAAGGTGGATGGGGTTGGTGACCGCTGGACCACTGAGGTTCAGTGAGAGGACATTTACCCCCGTGTAACACCCTAATTCTAGATTTAGTCCCACATTGGTATTTTACATCTTCTCTTCTGCTAGATAGAAAAAAAAATTGGTGAGGAAGGAGGGTGATAGAGACAGGCTGGTGGCAGGAAGAGAGAACTGTAAGAAGTTAACATCACAGTGACAGGCAAGGGAGGAAATTGGCTCAAGAGCTGGTGAGATGGGTGGGATGCAAACAAATGGTTTAAAACAAATGCCTTAACCTCGAATGTAGGCTATGCCAGCCAATCTCAGATGCCACCTCTCCCACTTCCTACCCTCAGGAAAAACTGCAGAAGTGCCTGGCGCCTCTGGAGCAGAAGCTGCAGGAGATCACGCGCTGTAAGTCCTCAGAGGAGCAGAAGCCTGCAGAGCTCAAGGTAAAGGCAGGCAGTGAACCCAGCACTAACACAGTATGTAATCCACCAGTGCTGATTCATTAGAAAAGTGGTGGTATTTCCTCAGGCTTGACGGTCTTTAGACATTGCGCTTACATTGCTTGTCATGGATTAAGTATTGAGGAGGCTGGAAGCGGTAAAGGACAGGTGGAATGTCTTACATCTGGCGAGTTCAGGGGGCTCGTGCCTGTTGTCTCCTGTGCTGTGTGCAGCAGGGAAGGAGGCTGCTCTGCTGAGTGTGCAGGGGAGGACTTTCTTAGAGGGATGGAGGAGAGGAGAATTTGGAAGGTTCACTCGGGAGAAAGGGAGAAGGAACTGACCGAGAACTCCCAGAAGAACTGTCCGATGACATTCTCTTAACCCCAGTGAGCTCGGGAATGACAGGTGTGTTCCGGGATGCTCTTCCTCTTTCCTTCCTCTACCTGCAGAACCCTGTCCGTGCTCGGGCAGCGGGAAAGGCACGTTCTGTGCAGCTTTTCCCGACCCTTCAGAACTTAGCTTTCTTCCTTTTCATATATTCCGGCATCTCCTTCAGAGCACCACCATGTTTGCAGTGTGGTGTATTTGTTTCTGTCTTATTTCTTCTAATGGTCAGTGAATAAGTATTAATAGTAGCAGTAATAACTAGTATTTATTGAATTCTGTACATTAATTCATTAGATATTCATGACATTCCAAGCTTACAGAATTGTATTAGGTCTTAGGGTTCTGCCCTGGTTGGAATCCTGAATTCAACTAGACTTGGTACAAGGGGGACATAGAGAAGCCAGAAGTCCCAGCGGTCATCTTTGGCAAGCGGGAACTCAGTTCCTCGTAAGGTAGCTGTTACACACACACTCCCCCTCCCCAAGTGTACACGGGTGGGAACAGCTTGGATAGTCCAAGGCTAATCCAAGATCACACAACCAGTTTGTAGCAAAGCTAGGGATACTAGTTCTGCATGAGTCAATAAATATTTCTTAAGCTTCCAGTAAAGGTCAAACCATGTATTTGACACTGGGAAACAATGATGAGCAGAAACAGCCCTGCCCTTCTTGATCTTACAGTCAAGTAGCAAAATAATGACATGGTATAAAAAGCATAGGTGCCGGTTCACGAGGGGACAACACAGAAATTTGACCTCATTAAAGGATGCCAGAAGAAATAATGAGCTTTTGGTATCACCAGAAATTAAACACATATTTGAAAATAGTAGAAACAGTAATTTCTTAACAATGACATTTCAACAGAAAGCAAGTATTGATACCTTAGTCCTTTATACATTTTAACAAAGTAAGCATTTGATTTTTGTTGTTGTTAAACCTTACCTGAGGATATTTTTCCCATTGATTTTTAGAGAGAGTGGAAGGGAGGGAGGGAAGGAGGAGGAGAGAGAGAGATAGAAACATCGATGTAGGAGAGACACATGGATTGAGTGCCTCCCGCAAGTGCCCCAACCAGGGTCAGAGATCGAACCTGCAACCCAGGTATGTGCCCTTGACTGGGAATCAAACTGGAAACTCTTCAGTGTGTGGGCCAATGATGCTCTAACCACTGAACACACCAGCGGGGCTGAAATTTTTTTTAATTGAACTAATTTTGATTGCAAAGGTGAGTTTAAAAGAAAAATTCTTGCCCTAACTTGTTTGGCTCAGGGGATAGAGCATCAGTCTGCAGACTGAAGGGTCCCAGGTTTGATTCCTGTCAAGGGCACATGCCTGGGTTATGGGCTCAATCCCCAATAGGAGGCATGCAGGAGGCAGCCGATTAGTGATTCTCTCATGTTTCTATCTCCCTCTCCCTTCCTCTCTGAAATCAATAAAAATATATTTTTAAAACGTTCTTTGATCTTTTGAAAGGCCCCAGAGAAACTTAAAATAGGTGAAAACGAAGCTTCTTCCCAGTCATTAACTTCCCTCTTCCTGTTGATCCTCTTCCTAAAGGTAAAGGATCGAGAGGGGAACAAAAATTTTAAACCCTTCAAAATACATAAACAGACTGTGGTTTTTACAGATGTAAGCTACCATTTCAATGGTTTCAGAAACTATCACTAGCCTTTCTGTTTCTTAAATTCTCACCTGAGGATATTTTTTCTATTGATTTTCCGACAGAGTGGAAGGGAAGGAGTGGGGGGAAGAGAGAGAGAGAGAGAGAGAGAGAGAGAGAGAGAGAGAAACGAGATGAGAGAGACACATGATTGGTTGCCTCCCTCACAATCAAACCCAAAACTGCATGATCAAACCCAACACCAAGGTACATGCCCTCAACCCTTCAGTCCATGGGCCAACATTAACCACTGAGCATCTGGGCAGGGCATCAACCTTTCTATAGTGACCATTTGAGTTCTCCTTCCTCCTCCCTCATCTCCACCTCCAGAATCAGACCCAGTGCCCTTTTATTTTATTTTTTAAATATTTATTGTTGAAACTATTACATATGTTCCCCTTTTTCCCCCGTCGACCCCCTCCAACCCACCCATGGCCTCCACCCCAGGCCCTCACCACCCCACTGTCTGTGCCCATGGGTTATGCATATATGCATACAAGGTCTTTGATTGATTACCTCCCACCCACCACCCTCCCCCACCTTCCTCCTCCCTTGCCTCCCCTCGGAGATGATCCAATGCCCTTTTAAAACTAATGTGTTAGGGTGACGAAGGCCTGGGGTGGGGTGGGACCCAGGTAGAGGAAAAAAGAGGGATAATCTCAACAATAAAAATTAAAGAAATAATAATAATAATTTGTAATTAACCATGCTGAAATGATAATTATTCATAAAATAATCTATCTACATAATTTTAAAAAGAAACTGTCATGCAGATTAGGCCGGGACGCCATAACGGTTCACACCAGACTGGAGGAGGCTGAGCGGGCAGGTGAGGCCCAGAGCGGAGACGGAGACAGAGACGGGGCCAACAAGCTGCCGCCCCGGCTGGGGCTGGCCCCCGGGAGCCGGAGTAGACACAGACAGGGACCTGGGGCCGCCCCAGCACAGGCCCGAGAGGAGACGGGGAGGG